CTGAGTTGGGTGCGAGGTCTGCTTGAGATTGCCTCTCTCCCTCTCTCCCTCTCTGTGCCCCCCCCACTCACATGCACACTCTCTCTCAAATAAAATCTTTAAAATATATATATACATTTGCTGAATAAACACAATAATGAAAGATGTCTAAGGGAGCCTCTCAAGGAAAGAAGGAGCCCCAGCAAAGTCATCGCAAAGGAGGGGGGGTTACCCAACCTCCATCTTCTGGTTCCCTAACATCCAGGCAGCTCCAGAGGAACTGAGAGACTCCTGTGGGTGTCATCAATCAGGTCTCCAGGGATAGGTTCTCCCCCTGCTGAATGGCATCATGCATGGGGGCTCCTTGGTGGCAGGAGGAATGGTGATTTCTGGGCAGGTAAGGTTCTCAACACTGTGAAGGCATGAACCTTCACTGGGCTGTAAGTGGCTGAAGTAGAACTGAGTAGGTCTCAAGAATAAGAGAAACTGGACCTGGAACAATGTTAAAGAAGAGTCACAGGAGAATGTGCCAATCAAGAAGAGAATCCAGAAACTATCAAGAAGACATTTCCCTTTACCACACCTTTACTAATTCACACTGAGGCAGGATTAGACAATAGCTCAGAACCACATCATCTACTATTTGCTATCCATTCTTCAGTGACTCATTTCCATTTCTAACTATGTGTTCAGTTATTTAAAAATAACCGCTTGTACCAATTTCTTCAAAACATCCACTACCAAGGCAGCTTTGACTCTCCGGGTGAATCTGCTGCTGCACACCCAGGAGGAAACCTGGTACAGTGACATACCAAAACAAGATTCTATAGGCCATCCAAATGGCAGCCTATGTCTACTTGAGGCAAAAGGAGAAACTAGATTAACCTCTTAGACCACTCCCAATTCTGAAATGCTATCATCATGACCCAACGATTCAGTAGAACATTGTTGGGAGACCCTGTGGGTCTTTCAGTAAAACTCAGTCCTGGGTACCTCCCAAGACTGCCACCAGCTCCATTCTTTGCTGCTCTTCTTCCCAAGCACTGGCAGTCTGTCCCGTATCTTTCCCACCCACCTCTCTGCTGAAGACAGGTTCACCAGCCCTAATATCAGGCTGCAAAATACTTCAGACAAACAGAAAGAGATCACCAACAACCACAAAACTTGGAGATGGTAAATGTTCCTACAAGCCCGGTACCCTCCTGAGGACACAGATGCAGTTCTGGTATATTTGAGCTCCTCCTGCAGAGGCCATATAATTTATCATCCATACTAATGCAGTTCTGAACACAGAAAGAGGTGCTGATGATCATTATGCTGAGACAGAGACCTTCTTCTCCTTCCTTCCTTGTCCCTGACAAAGTCCATATACACATGTCACCTCTCCATGGGGGCCATACACAGGCCCGAACACATGTTCACACTTGTGTTGGTGGGCCACTTTGGGTCTTGGTTTCCACTGGGGTTTGCCCCCACGGTAAGACTGATCACTTAGCACACTTCTGCACAAGTCAAGTCTTTCCCTAACCAAAAACAAAAATCTTTCCTGGGTTTTGAAATATCTCTCATGGTTGAGAATTAAAATAGTATAGAGCAGATAGAGACCTCTTCAGTGTTTTTAAGTTATCTTACAGACCCCTCAAAGCATCCAGATAGTCAACATACATGTACATTCTGCACATATGGAAACCCTCTACCCAAGGAAAAAGAGAAAAAAAAACACCCAAATACTTAATGAAGCATCTTTATCCATGAAAATATAAAGGCAAATGGTTTAAGCCACTGCAAAATTCATTGCCAAACCCAAAACAAAAACTCATGTCTGAGAATTTCAATGCAAATATCCTCATTTGATTTTTTACACAAAGCCACATGATTATAGGATCATGGAAAATACTAATTCTTCCTAATTGATCTTTTTCCCTTGAGGTAGGGAATTAGCACTGTTTCAAATCTTCCACTTTATCACAATCTTTATTCAAGCATTTAAACCTAAACTATCAACTCTAGCTTCAGAACATCAGTCTGCTTTATATATATATATATATATATATATATATATATATATATAGTTTATATATTAACATATCTCAACTAGATAAGAAGAAAATATATCAAGTGTGATACTCACCCTCACTACCCTGTTTATTTACTAAGCCTTACTGTACCTTGAATTATAGTCACCTCAAAAAAAATGCTAGTGTTATTGTATCTCTTTGTTTTTTTCTTAAAATAAATATCAGGGCAGCCCGGGTGGCTCAGCAGTTTAGCACTTCCATTCGGTCCAGGGTGTGATCCTGGAGACCGGAGATGGAGTCCCATGTCAGGCTCCCTGCATGGAGCCTGCTTCTCCCTCTGCCTGTGTCTCTGCCTCTCTCTCTCTCTCTCTCTCTCTCTCTCTCTCTCTCTCTCTCTCCCCGCCCCTCTCCATATCTCTCATTAATAAATAAATTAAATAAATCTTTTAATAAATAAATATTAAATGGATCTCCTATTCCAGATGACCTGTAACATCAAGTTGCTTTTCCTTTATGCAATGTGTGAATATCATCCAAATTTCAAGTAACCTTATTAATCATATTATTAAATTGGAGGATTTTGATGGAGGGGCTTGACTAGGAAATGTTTCACCCTTTGAAAAATACAATAGTTTATTTAATATCAAGCCAGTCTTGATATTAAATAAACGGACTTTCAAAACTATTAATAAGGAATGGTGTGAATGTTTCGCATACCCACAGCTCATTAAACCAGTTGATTAAACAGAGCCACCTAATTCCCGTTCCACGTTAAAGTAGTGAAAGGTTATCCAACAGATAAAAATCCATCTCACTTATTTTTATCTTCTTCATCTTTTCCCTTTAAATTCTGCACACACCTTCCTGTCACATTATTCTTTAGTTGCTCCCTAAGAAAGTTCCACTTCTCCCACACAGGAGAGGAAAAAGTAACTTTTCACTTTATTATAACTAAAACTGGTGTGTACTTTAGAGTTTGCCCCTGGAACACCTGGGTGGCTAGGATGGTTTAGGAGTAAGAGAGATGTCTGCGAAGGTCAAAAACAATTGAATACTGGCAGCTTCCTATGGTTCAATGTCATATATTTCACGGGGTCCTTGCAACCACCTGTGAGGAAGATCCAATTATTCCCGTTTTACTAATTAGCCTGAGATTTAGAAAAGTTAAGAACTTGGCACAAAACATTCAGGAAGTACCTGCCCAATATTCAAGGGCCAAATCCACTGGTTCCAAATTATGTTTCCCACAAACATGTGTTTAACGCAATACGTAGCTCAGGGTTTTTGAGGTGTCTTGTGCAGACTGTCTAGTTTCTTAATCTCTTTTCCCTACACCGCCTGAGGTGTTTCTAAGATTCAAGCCCAAGAACCACGAATATCCCCCCCACTTTTTTTTTTTTTAAGCTTCAGGAAGCAATAATGAGGAGGGAAATAGAAGCAGAAGGAATATAAAGAGTCCAATTGTGCTCTGGATGGGCCGGCCTAGCAATCCCCCTTTTAGGGGCAGGATCGACACAGGGAGGGACTTTGGGCTTTCCCTGACCTCTCCTTTCCCTTCAGAGTCTTTTCCTTTGCAAAAATGGATTATTTTCTAACTGACGTAAAGATGCAGTCAGTTCTTCAAAGGAAAAAAGCCAGCATCATCTAATTCATAGCCTGGATTGAGCCACTGTGAGTTTCATTCAAAAGAAAATTTTTAAAAAGATTTTATTTATTTATTCATGAGAGACACAAAGAGAGAGGCAGAGATACAGGCAGAGGGAGAAGCAGGCTCCCTGCAGGGAGCCCGATGCAGGACTCGATCCCAGGACCCTGGGATCACGACCTGAGCCAAAGGCAGATGCTCAACTACTTAGCCACCCAGGTGCCCCCATCAAAAGAAATTCTCATTGATCTTGACCCACACATGCTGCTGGTCCCAACAACACACCAATGGCTTGGGAGCCAGATTTGGGGGCTGCCTTCCCAGGATTAAGACTCATCGGAAGCAACAAGCTCATAAAAACTGAGTGCTCAGGAATTGGAAAGTAACAAATCTGAATCAGTCCTCTACTCTTCTCAAATCTCCTCCAAATTCTCAGCCTTTTCTCTATCACAGTGGCTGGGATGGAAAGCTCCAGAAAAAAGGCAAAGCTCTGAAGTGTTCTTGTTTATCCTAACAAAAGGCACCCTGACTAACCTGGCATTGCATGAATAACTTAATATATTCCATTAAGGGATTCCCTGTTCTGAAGAAAATTTAAAAAGTAACTTAACCTTTCACATCTGGACAGCAATCCTGGAAATGCAACGTGAGAGAATGTTCCCCGGGAGATGGAAACATAGTCATGATCCCCCTTGTTATAGGTGAATAAAGCACAACAGGGAAGACCTAAATCTCTTTGTAAAGTAAATTGGAAAAATATGTTCTATAGGGGGTGGGGGGAGATAGTAGAGACACATGTACTTAGGAAACCTTGAACCTCCCAGGGTTGTTAAAGTGATAGACTCAACTACAGAGAGGGCTCATAGGTCTGAAGAGGAGCTGTGTGAGCACAATGAGTTTTATTTCCAATTTTCATTTTTAAAGACATGCTTGGCCTGATTTTTTTTTTTTCCAGACCTGTCTAAACTTCTCTCTGCGCCTGGGGGATGAGTACCAAATGTTTGTGGCTGGCTAATGTGATGCTCCACAGAGAATATTATTCTGTTTCTTATTCAAGGCCCTTGTAATTAATCTGAACTGTCTCTTCTCAGACATGGAAGAACCGGATTCTAAAATTCTCTCCTTTCCTTCCTGTCCCCTCCCCACCCTTTCAGGAGAAATGGGAAACATTTTTCCTGTCATCATAACCTGCTGGATTTTTGAATCATATTTTCTGTTGAATCTGTTGTTAAGCTTCAGGCAGTTGGAGCTCTAAGGTATCTGAACGGCAGGAAGTGATTTCCTAAGATTCATCCCCAGAGAACAAAGAGTAGAACACAACAGTGATTTTGTTAATAATATGAAAAGAGATTTTCTACCTATAAATCACATCAGCATATGTTTCTAGGTTCGATGTCCATAAGGTTCCAATTTAGCCTAGAAAGAAAGAGAAAAAATCACACTCAACAATCTCATATTGTAGATTTGATATGGAACTAACGAATTTTAGTCAACAAAACCATTCACCACTAGAGAAAAAACCCAGGGCAATAAGTGGACTAAACCCAAACTATGCTCAGGGTAAATTGTTAAAATATTTTCAAAGAAAACTCTTTAAAAAAAAATAACATAAGAATTCTCCCATAAAACATCAGTCTTAGACTCATGCTAATGGGTAGCAAGTTTGACATTTAATAGTACAAGTTAGTTGTCTAGTTAGTTGCTTTACCAAAATCTCCCTCAGGCCAAAAGTCCACAGATAATGCGTACCTTACTTTTCAGTCAACGAAGGGAGGGGGAAAAAAGTCTGGTATCTAGACTTCTTCAAATTGTTTCTGAAAACATGTAAGCAGCTCTGAAGTTAAAAGATCTGAACATGCATCAAGTGCCTAGTAGGTGTCAAGGACCAACAGGGCCCAGCCTACGGAATTCACAGTAGTGGGAGAAAATGGCATGTCAACACTCAGAGAGCAACCTGTAAGTGCTAGCTCCGGGGCCAAACACTCCAACAACTCCACTCATACTGTTCTCATATTCAGGGATATGCAGAATTGATAATAGCTTCTCTATACACAGGAAGCATAGAAATCTACCGTTAGTATTTCACAAGCATTATGTTAAGTGTAGCCTCAACAATCCAGATAGATATTATTTGTTCTATTTCACAGATAAGAAATACTAAGCTTTACCTTATACACCATTGGTAAGAATGTAAACTGCTACAGCTGCTAAAGAAAAAGTATGGAGTTTCCTCAAAAAATTAAAAATTTGGAGGTGGTTCTGTCGATTAAGCACCCAATGCTTGGTTTTGGCTCAGATCATGATCTTGTGGTCCTGGGATTGAGCCCCGCATCAGGCTCTGTGCTCAGTGGGGAGTCTGCTTGTCTCCCTCTCCCTCTACCCTTCCCCCTGCTTGTATATGCTAGCACTCTCTCTCTCTTACATAAATAAATCTTTTTAAAATAATAATAATAATAATTGAACTACCATATGATCTGGAAATCCCACTTCTGGGTATTTATCCAAAAGAAATGAAGTCTCTATCTTGAAGTAAAATCTGCACCCCATATTCATTGCAGTATAATGCACACTAGCCCAGACTAGTGTCCATCCAGAGAAGAATGGATAAAAAAGCTGTGGCATATACACAATGGAATATTATTCAGTCATTAAAAAGAAGGAAATGTGCCATTTGTGACAATATGGGTGAGCCTCAAGGGCATTGTACAAAGAGCAATAAGTTAGAGAAAATCAAATACTATTAGACCCTACTTGTATGTGGAATCTAAAACAGTCAAACTCACAGAAGCAAAGAGTAGAAAGAAGGTTGCCAGGGGCTTGGAGGAGGGGAGACGTTAATCAAAACTTAAAGCTATAAGATGAATAAGCCCCAGGGATCTGACATATAGCATAGTGACTACACTTAACAATACTGTGTTATATACTTGAAAGTTACTAAGAAAATAGATCTTAAATTTAAATTTTAAAAAATGTAAAAAAAATAAAATAAATAAAAGAAAATAGATCTTAAATGTTCTCATCATTTAAAAAAAAAAGGGTGATTATGGGAGTTGATAGAGGTGTTAGCTAACTTTATTGTAGCAATCATTTCACAATATATACATGTATCAAATCATCACTGTACTCCTAAACTTTCACAATGTTATATGTCTACTATATCTCAATAAAGCTGGGGGGGGAGGGGAATCTGCACTGCAGTACAAAAACAGCCACAGATAATATGTGAATTAATAGGTGATGCTGTGTTCCAATAAACTTTATGGATACTGGAAAAAGAACTGAAGTTTAGAATGTCCAGATCTTTGCTGTTCAACTATACTGTATAAAGTTTCAGTTGCAAGATGTATAAGATCTGCTGTAACATTGTTCTATAATTAACAACACTGGACTGTGCACTTAAAAATTTATTACGAGAATACATATGTTTAGTATTTTTACCACGATAAAAAAAAATTAAGAAAAAAGATAAAAAGAAAAAAGAGAGATCCGCAGGACCATGGGGGAAAAATATGATGGAAACAGAACACAGTTCCCCATATCTTGAAGATGGTGGATGGAGACAACAAAAAGCAAAGTACAATGTCAGTACTCAAAAGTCGACACATTTCTCACGTATCAGCAATGAGCCAGTAGAATTGAATTTTTTGAAATAACCATTTACTATCAAACTCAAAAATGGAATAGTTATAAATCTAGCAAAATACACACAAATCTATGTACAGAACACTATGAGACAGTGTAGAAAGAAATAAAATCTAAATAAATGGAGAGATATTCTTTTTTTAAAAGTAGGGGAGCATCTCCTGGGTGGCTCAGTCCATTAAGTCCGACTCTTCATTTCAGCTCAGGTCATGATCTCGGGGTCATGAGATGAAGCTCCACCCTGGGCTCTGTGCTGAGTAGAGAGTGTGCTTGAGACTCTCCCTTTGCCTCTGCTCCTCTCCCCACTCACACTGTGTCTCTCTCACTCTCTCTGTCTGAAATAAGTGAATAAATTTTTAAAAGTGGTGGAGGCATCTTAAATCAATTGTCTAAAATCATGTAGCCATTAGGTGGGAAAACTAATACCTGAGGTTCCTTGGCCTCTCTTTGCTGCTGACTTGACTAAGTTTTGTGCTCATGTCTTGTTGTAGATTAAACCTCACTAGCCCTTCAGCAAATTAATATTGCTGCAGCAAGGGAAACTCCTTACTGCATTCTCAGGATGATTTGCTTTTGGGAAATTATACCTGTAATTCAATCATGGCATGAGTCATAATACAATATCTGGTTTAGGACCCAAGGCTCCATTTTCATTTGAGCACTAAAAGTAAAGAACTTCCAAACATTTTCCAGTGCCTTTTTACTTGTTCTAGAGTAGCTCCTTCATGAATCCCAAGATATCTGAATCTTCATAAAGCCATCTGTGCTCACACAAAACTATCCTTGCAGAGAACCATCAGTGTTTGGAGCAGAAGTTTGGAAGTAGTTTTGGTTACATGTCTAACTGGTTGAATTCAGTGTTCAACTAGTTAAACTATTAATTCACAGGTTCTGGTGAGGCAAGGTTTTCCTTAATGGATTCACCCCACCACTCGATTCCACACTAAGCCAAATGTTCAGAGAAGATAGAGCCCATCACGTCAGCCTTGGCCTCCAGTCACAGAAAACATGGAGACCATTTGATTGTGAGGCCTCAACTCTACTGTCCAGGACTCCAGGGCACCTGTGATGTCTTGGACACTTCCCTCCAACCAATCAAGACAGCAACCAGCACACAGATTCAACTTCTATCTTGAATGGTTTCTTAAAGGGCATTCACAGATGGGTCATCTGTTGCTTTTAAATCCCATAAAATGGTAGCACCTGGGGGGCTCAGTCAGTTAAGCATCTGGCTTTGATCCCAGGATCCTGGGATAGAGCTCCATGTTGAGCTATCCGCTTGGCAGGGAGTCTGCTTCTCCCTCTCCTTCTGCCTGCTGCTCCCTCTGCTTGTTCTCTCTCTCTCTATCTATCTCTCTCTCTCTCTCAAATAAATAAATAAGATCTTTAATTTTTTAAAAAGTAAATCTCATAAAATGTTCTGAGTTTAAATGCAGAGGAAAGCCACCATTTTAAAAACAATTATACAAGATGATTTTCTCACCCTGCACTTAAGGGGACAATATACACACCTGCAGCAGATTCCCCAAATATGTGCTCTCCAACTGTGCTCACTTTTAGGACAGTGTGTTCCTTTTTCCATGTCTTGAATATGTCCAAGTTAGAGCCTTCCATTATTTTGACTACTAGAGATATTAGTAAATGACAGAAAAAGAATTTTGATAGGTCCAAAACTGTAGCATTTGTTAATGGAAACCTTTTCTATTAGGACAAGGAGTATTAATTCAATGTTTCAATTATTAGGTATTATCTCCAGTATATTTTTTTCTAGAGAAAAATACAGGACTCACAATCCCCACTCTCCTGTCCTTCTCTGCTCATATTAGAACTGTCAGAGGTTTAGTGTTTAATTTTACAATTGAGTTTTTGGTTGTGTGGGAGTGAGAGGATGTAAGGATGATTCTGGTTTGGAAACTGGTTGATCCATTGATGAAAACAGGGATCCCAGGAGGAGATTCTGGGAAGATGAGAATCAGAAGCACAGAGGAAAGATCCAGACTGGAGTCATAGATTTGGGAGTTATTGCCCAAAAAAAAGTACTAAAGTAGGCTCTAGAATTTTCACCTGCTACACATCCACACACACAAAGGCTTATCCTTGCCCATGGAGGCAAAGCAAAGTCCACGTTCTGATCAGTGTGTTGGACAGATTTGCAAAACGCTCAACTCTTGGTTCACATATTTTCGCCCTGCATGGAATGAAGTCAAACACATGTAGCTGTGCTTTTTTCAGTTGTATTCACCCAAAGACCAAGGCATACCTGGGCACATCTGAGAACAGAGGCGATGCACGTGAGGGATGAAGGAGCCACAGGTTATTCACTGTGAGGTCCATTCCAGGAGAACAAGCCAGGAAAGAGAGGGAGGCTGTTTGGGAAGAAAATATATGCCTGTCACTCAGATTACCCTGCCAGTCATCCAGGACTCATGCCACAGGTCCTCAATTCAAACAGGTTTGTTAAAAGGAAAGAAACACTGACAGATATCTCCACAGGACTTTGAGAGCACAGACAGAGCCACATTGAGCAATGGCTTTCCCAGCACAACCTCTGTGCAGAGCTGAGCACATTGAGCAAGAGCCATCAGGGTCATGGCATGAGCTTTGCCAAGCCTCACCCCATCAGCAGGCAACCTAATTGGCAGTGGTATTGTAACAGGTGAGGACATCAGGACTGATGCCCTCAACACAGACCCTAGAGCGTCAGCACCAGGTATCAAGGTCATCAGAGAAAACACAATGTGGTAGTCCTTGTGGACCACACCTGGAGAGGCAGGAAATGGCAGATGCCACATGGCACCCAAGAAGCACATGTGAGGTGCCTCCAGAAGGACTCCCAGCACCATGTGGAAGGAAGAGTGTGAGAATCTGGAGTTTCCAGAGTTTATAGAGACAGAGCTTCCTTTGTGACTTATTTTCACCTTAATTTTACCCCCAGTCCAGTGTGACTTCAGAAACACAAGTTATGCTGAAAAACAAGGTTGAAGGAAGAAAGAAAGAAAGAAAGAAAGAAAGAAAGAAAGAAAGAAAGAAAGAAAGAAAGAAAAAGAAAACACGTTTTATAACTCCCACCATCTGTGCAGGTATGGAAAATATCTATATTCCATCACCCCTCATAATGAAGAAGTTTCTGATTTTTTTTCTAGGAAAATATAAAATGTTACATCACTGGTCCCTCTTTACCCCCTGGCATTGAAATGCTACAGCAATTGTTCTTCTCTTAATGTCTCTGTCATCATATGACCCCTTCTGCTTCAAGACTCGGAGAAGCTGGTTGGACTGTGCTGTCATTTACAGTGATCAGGAAAGCAAATTTCCTTGAAATTCTCCAAGACACAATAGAAGGCACTGTTCTTACAGCTAATTGGGGGGACCTGGATGGTGCCCAGGTTTGAATCACACAGACGTAATTATTCCTTTCCCTTCGCAGATAACTTTAGAAAAGCAATCCCTTACATTCGTGAACTTTTCCCTCTGCAGCATAAGAAATGCAGGAATGCAGCCCAGCCTGCCTTGCCTAGAGAGAGATCTGTTCCCCCCAAAATGAGTGCATTTGTTTAAGCCCCTTCCCAAAAAAAACAAGCTGAAAGTTTAGCTCAAGATTTGCTTTTAGGGGATGGAGGGATGGATTTTATCAGATTACTGGGAAAATAATGTGAGTATCTGCCAAAGAATCACATTGCTTTCCTTTTCTTCTAACAACAACAAAAAAAAGTTTAAGCTCATGCTGATTTTGCAGCGGGAAGCCTGCCCATGTGACAAATGAGTCAAGATGAAATGCAGCGGTTTGGCATTCCTGGAAAGTTAATTCTCAGGTTTTTAAAAAATCTGGGGAAAACAAGAAATCTTATTGATAAAGGAGAGTCAGTTAGCAGAGTAGCAGCAACCGCTCATAAGAAAAGCTCATCTGCAAACAGGAAAGAACGTTTTGAAACGGAAAGGTTGCCTGTAAAACAGCCATTTAAAATAGCTACATGGAGAGAATCTAAAACACAGAGAAAAAGAGGAAGCACAGAAATAAAGTCCTGATAGTCAAGAAGGTGGAAACCGGGTCCAAGGAGCTCAAAGTCCTATATGGTCTTTAGCCTTTGCTTCATTTTACCCAAATGTTGGGGTGAGGGGGTTCCGGGTAGCTCTGGCTGAGATTTCAAACAGATTTCAAACAGAACCCTGACACCAAACCAGAGTTCAAAACCTAAAGATAAAAACCTGAAGGAGGAGAGAATCAGAAAAGAGAAAGTAAAGTCAAGAACACAAAAGGTAAGATCCAGGTCAGCAAGCCAGGACCAGGTACGCTCCAAGTCAGAAGGCAGGGAAGTTGCCAAGTTCAAGCTCACTCACTAAAGGAGGGCAAGGCCAGAGAAGCCATGGAGTGCCTTAACACTGGACTTTTCAGAACTTTTCCAAGGAAACTAATGACAGATAAATTCTTACCCTTAGAGATGCTGGAGGCATGGCTGGAAACACTTGGGCCCAGGGACCACATTTGTAAATACCAGTGTCCTAAACATCAATGAAAAGTCTGCATTTTGCTTCATACAGTAGTTTTGTTCTTTTCAGAATGAAGCTAATGTAAGATCACTGCTCAGAAGGAGTAAAAGCCCAGGAGAAACCCTACCCTGCGCACCCAGGAAAACAAGAGCCGTATTTGAGAAGCACAGGGTTCAACCGTTATCCTTGGCTGCACTTCCACATAATATCGGATCCTCACCATCCCCAGGACTCAGGATTAAGCCCCACTTCACCCTACAGCCACCAAGGTAGCCAGGGACCACGAACTCAAATGGCAAAGGGCATCCAGTAGCAAACACAACTGTCTGAGCTATTTGTCTCCTGGCCAAGCATGATGTCTGTCAATTACAGAATTTTTTCAAAATGCCATGGAAGCCAAATAAGGAGGTCAAACAAAGGAAGATGTGGAACCATATGTGGTCGGAGAGGCACAGAGTAGAAACCTCTGGCAGTCCACTGCCTCACAGTGCGAATTTCACTAATATTTGAGTGAAGAAGGACATAGAATCTAAGAACTAGATGGTATATTTTTTTAAAGGGAGGAAACCAAGTTCAAGAAAGAGGAAAAATAAACGAATAAAAATTATAACTCACATCTTAGCCTATCAACATTAGGTTTGCAGAGTCTTCATTTTAACAAAAGACAAAGGTAGACTGGGTGTGGAATGGACTTTTTTGTGTGAGTTACCCAGAAAGCAGTAACCCAGACAAAGGTCAAAAAGCAGAAACTTTACTGGGGGGTGGGGGGAGAGTGGACAGTTATTGTTTAATGGGCATAGGGTTCCAGTTGTACAATATGAAGCATTCTAGAGATGGATAATGGTGATGGTTGCATACTATGCACATGCTAAATACCACTGAACTGTACATTTTAAAATGTGATATATACACGCACAATGGAATGTATTTGGCCATAAAAAAAGGATATCCTGCCATTTGTGACATGGATGGACGTTGAACACATCATGCTAAGTGAAATAAGTCAGACAGAAAAAGACAAATACTATGATTTTGCCTATGTGTGGAATCCAAAAAAACAAAAACAAAAACTCATAGGAACGGAGAAAAAATACAAACCTCCAGTTATAAAATGAGTAAGTCCTAGAGATACAATGTACGGCATGGTGACCACAGCTAATAATACTATATTACATATTTGAAAATTGCTAAAACAGTGAATCTTAAGAAAAAATCATAACTAAATGTGCTGATGGATATTAACTAGACTTATTGTACTGAACATTTCATAATACATACAAATGTTGAAACATTAGGTTGCACACCTGAAACTAATATACTGTTATATGTCAAGTATATCTCAATAAAAAAATTATCAAGATGGTAAATTTTATGTTACATGCATTTTATCACAATTTAAAAACAACAACAACAACCTTATTTGGGAGTATAATTCCAAGCAACAGGAGTGAGGGAAAGTGGGGAGAAAAATCAGAAGGGAGGGAGAGCCAGAACAAAGAGGCCTTGAGGAGTTGGCTACCAATTACAGGGAACTGGCTGCTGGATCCCGCAGGATGGTCCTGGGAATTTTATGCAGTGTGACTCGAGATCATCCATTAGGGAGCAAGGGAAAAGCAATTATCTCCAGGCTCTACCCTGCATTAGACACAGGTTTGCCCAGAGAGATATCTCTCTAACATGTCTGGGGTCTGCATCAGTGGAAGTCACATGGTTTCATGGCCAGAGGTGAGGCACTATTGAGTTGCACATGTGTGCAAGTGGTCAGAGCCCTGCAAAATCCATTATACCGGTGCCTGGAGTAAGAGACTGATGAGGCCTTGGGAACCCAAAATGGTGTTCCATACACAGATAAGCTAGAACAAAGGGAGGTGAAAATATGCTAAGTAATGCTCTAATGCAACTAAGTAATGCTTCAATTTTGAGATTATCCTTAAATTCAGTATGTCCCTTGGAGCACCTGGGAGCTCAGTCAGCTAAGCATCCAACTCTTGATTTTTGGCTCAGGTCATGATCTCAGGATCATGAGATCGAGCCTTGTGCTGGGCTCCACCCTCAGCACCAAGTCTGCTTGAGGTCCTCTCCCTCTGCCCCTCCTCCCACTAGCTTATTCTCTCTCTTTCTCAAATAAATAAATTAATTAAATTAAATCTTTAAATTCAATATGTCACACTTCTGATCATTTGCTTACCATCTTTTATCATAGCTACATAATACCTCTATAATTATTTGATAATAGCTTTAAATTGATTCCTTCTTTTGACTTATTTATTTGGCAGCTTATTAAGATATAATCTACATATAGTGAAATTCACTCTTTTAAGGTACACAATTCAGTAAGTTTTGATAAACATACTTATGTAAACACCACCACAATCAAGATATACATTTCTATCATCCAAAAAACTTTCTTACTGCCCCTTTGTAGTCTACCCCTGGCAATCAGAGATGTGATTTCTGCCCCTATATAAATCTGCCTCTTCCAGATTGTCTTAAAAAAAAAGAAAGAAAGAAAGAAAGAAAGAAAGAAAGAAAGAAAGAAAGAAAGAAAGAAAGAAAGAAAGAAAGAAAGAAACAGGGGCCCTGGGGTAGCTCAGTCTGTTAAATGTCTGCCTTCAGCTCAGGTCATGATCTCAGGGTCCTGGAAGCAAGTCCCACATCAGGCTCCCTGCTCACTGGGGAGTCTACTTCTCCCTCTCCCTCTGCCCCCAACTCATAATCGCTCACTCTCTCAAAAAAATAAAATCTTAAACAAAAAAACCACTCAGACTAAGTGGCTGTAAATATATAGGTGCTAGTGCCTTGATTGCATGTTATTTATAGTGGTTCAAATATTGTGTAAAGAAAAGCTCACCAAAGAAGACATGCATTTTTTGCATCTATAGATAGAAATTGCTTTTTCTTTTTAATCTACTACAATGAGAAAATACCTACATTCGTTG